CTCTCTCTCTCATTCCTTGTCTATCTCTCTCTGTCTCTCTCTCTCTATCACTCTCTCTCCCTCTCTCGCTGTCTCTTCCTCTCTCTCCGTGTCTGTCTGTCTCCATCCCTCTCTGCTTCTCTCTGTCTCACCCTGTCTCTCTCTCTCTCTCATTCCTTGTCTATCTCTCTCTGTCTCTCTCTCTCTATCACTCTCTCTCCCTCTCTCGCTGTCTCTTCCTCTCTCTCTCCGTGTCTCTGTCTGTCTCCATCCCTCTCTGACTTTCTGCTTCTCTCCCTGTTTTTCCCTTTCTCTTTCTCTCCCTCTGCCTGACTCTCTCTCTTTATCGCTCTGTTTCTCTTTCTTTCTCTCTCTCTCTGTTCATCTCTCTGTCTCTCTCTTCCTCCTGTGTCTTCCTTTCTCCCTCTTCCCCTCCCTGGTCTCAGTCCTTTTCCACGTTGTAATCCTTGTTGCTTTCCCAATCTCTCCCTCGCTCCCCCTCTCTCTCTCTCCCCCTCTGCCCTTGCCTGTTGGTATAGCCAAAACGATTACAAACTCATCCCCTTCTGCTCTTTCTCTCGCACAGAACATGCGCCTGAAAACCAGCAAAGAGCTGAAGGAACCTGTAGCAACCATTACTTTGGACGGTGAGATCCAGCTTGGATTTCTCTGTGGGCTCTGGGGAGCCAGAGATTAGAGAGAGAGAGACAGAGAGAGACACTCGACAGCTCTGAACAGGGGATCAGCACAGACACAGAGAGACAGAAAGAGGGAGAGAGAGAGTGAGAGGGGGCAGCGGGCAAGATTGGGAGAGAGAGGGAGCGATAGAGAATTAGAGACGGTGTCAGAGACGGAGATACAGGCAGACAGATATAGGGAGAGAGAGATTGAGGGAGAGATTCAGAGACTGAGAGAGACAGACAGACAGAGAGAGAGAGATTGAGAGAGGGACTGCGACAGAGACAGGGAGAGGGAGCGACGGGGAGAGGGAGAGACTGAGGGAGAGAGAGGGAGAGAGAGAGAGACAGAGAGAGAGAGATTAAGAGAGGGACTGAGACAGGGAGAGGGAGTGACAGGCAGAGGGAGTGACAGGACAAGCGAGAGACTGAGGGAGAGAGAGGCTGAGGAGGGGGGGGAGAGAGAGAGAGACAGAGAGAGAGATTGAGAGAGGGACTGAGACAGGGAGAGGGAGGGACTGAGGGAGAGAGAGGGAGAGAGAGAGAGCGAGAGAGAGATTGAGAGAGGGACTGAGACAGTGACGGGGAGAGGGAGTGACAGGGAGAGGAAGAGAGAAAGAGAGAGAGAGATTGAGAGAGGTACTGAGACAGAGACAGGGAGAGGGAGAGACTGAGGGAGAGAGAGGGAGAGAGAGAGAGAGGGACTGAGACAGTGACGGGGAGAGGGAGAGACAGGGAAAGGGAGAGAGAAAGAGAGAGACAGAGAGAGAGAGATTGAGAGAGGTACTGAGACAGAGACAGGGAGAGGGAGAGACTGAGGGAGAGAGAGACAGAGAGATGGAGACAGAGAGACAGATACAGATACATAGAGAGAGAGAGAGACAGAGGGAGAGAGAGAGACAGACAGAGAAAGAGAGAGATTGAGAGAGGGACTGAGACAGAGACGGGGAGAGGGAGTGACGGGGAGATGGAGTGACTGAGAGAGAAAGAGAGACTGAGGGAAGGAGGGAGAGAGAGAGAGCGAGAGACAGAGAGAGAGATTGAGAGAGGGACTGAGATAGTGACAGGGAGAGGGAGTGACAGGGAGAGGGAGAGAGAAAGAGAGAGACAGAGAGAGAGATTGAGAGAGGGACTGAGACAGTGACAGGGAGAGGGAGTGACAGGGAGAGGGAGAGACTGAGGGAGAGAGAGACAGAGAGATGGAGACAGAGAGACAGATACAGATACATAGAGAGAGAGAGAGACAGAGACTGAGAGAGACAGAGACAGTGGGAAGGAGCGACTGAGGGAGGGAGAGACTGAGGGATGGAGAAAGAGACATAGACCAAGACAGAGAGACAGATAGAGTTACGTAGAGAGAGTGAGAGACAGAGACTGAGAGAGGGAGAGATATAGGAAGAGACTGAGTGAGAGAGACAGCCAGAGAGAGAGATGGAGATGGATAGATGGAGAGAGAGAGAGAGAGACAGAGACTGAGAGAGAGGGACAGTGAGGGAGATATAGAGAGATGAATACAGACAGAGAGAGACAGATATAGAGACAGGGAGAGACAGACATTCAGAGAGAGATTGTCAGACAGACAGAAAGGGACAGAGTGACAGACATGGGGGAGAGGGAGAGAGAGAGACAGACAGATGCAGAAACAGAGAGAAAGAGAAGAGAGAGACAGGCTGAGAAAGAGAGACAAAAGCAGTGAGAGGGAGAGAGATAGAGACAGAGAATGAGAGAGAGATAGATGAAGAGAGACAGATATTCAGAGAGAGAGAGAGAGAGAATAAAAGACAGACATGGAGAGAGAGAAAGAGAAGATGCAGATGGAGGTGAGAGAGACGGGGCAGGGAATAAAGATAGAGAGAGAGAAAGAGAGACAGGGAGGGAGACTGAGAGAGAGAGATTGAAGCAATAGAGGCAGGAGACAGCAGAGAACTGTAGTCGGAACACGAATCGGTTTAAGCAGATCGCTGAGGAAGCGAAGCAGAGAGGGAAAAAGGAGAGAGAGAGATGAGGGGAAAAAGGAGAGAGAGAGAGATAGAACAGAGAAAGGCAGAAGTAGAAACAGTGGCAGAAAAAAAAGAGACAAGCAGAAATAGTCAGGGAGAAAGACAGAGAGAGAGAGAGAAACAGACAAAGGAGGACAGGAGGGACATGAAGAACGAG